AAATGGGCCACTGCCAGAAGGGGTAGTTTTTCTCCCCTTCCTTAGATATTCTTTCCTCTAGAAGGATCTGCATGGTGAACATGATAAGGGAATTTATCTGGCTAAAAATAACATTTAATTTTCTTTTAAAATGCAAAAAGGGTTATTTTCAGTGAGATAAATCCCCTTGTCAATCTTACCACAAGCTGCACAGACCCTAATACTAATAGGGAGGGGCTCTTCTTACCTCACTTTCTAATGTGTCATTCATCACAGCCTTGAGTATTTGCTAGATTCAAGTAGCTGCAATCTAGATTGAGTTCTTTCACCATGAAATGGAGACAGACATCCTCTGTTTCAGCAGGTGAGGATGCATATGTGAAAGGTAACGTGGAGTAATTTAGGTATTTAAAATGGATCCAGAGGTGTTGAGGGAGCCCTGCTATTTGTCCCTTTCCCTGCATAAGGCCTGAATTAAATGTGCTTTCTTACCTAGGTCTTGTCACATATTTTTATAGGGTCTGGGGCTGCATGACCTGCATTAGACCAATGCATTTTGCCATGACATGATTGACTGGTGACAGACAGATCTGTCCTGAACAGCTGGATGCATCTGTTTTTCACGTGTGCAATCTGCCAGCAGATAACCCCTTTAAAAATGTGAGAGTTTGGAAAGATCCTTTGGATAACAAGCATGCTCAAAAACACATACATCAGAGGTGGGGTTGGGTGGAGATGGGATTGGGAATGCAGAGGGTGTGGAGTAAAAGCAGCAAGCAAAGGAAGATCCGTGGCTGTGAAGCTCTCCCACAAGGTGTGTCTCTGGAGTAAATTTCTCTTTATCTCTTCCCCATCCTGCACAACTCACAGTACTTCTAAAGCACAGGTTGTTTTTTGTTTCTGCAGACAACCCCTGCGTGATGTGAGTGAAGACAGTGCCAGTTCTTCTACATTTTATGCGACTATAAAAATAAAAATTGATGCTCCTTGCTGCTTACTGTCTACATTTTTTCCTCTCATGTCTGCTCTGAGCAGTCATAAAAAGGTTACTTGTGCTAGCAGGGATTTAAGATCAAGGATTTTATTAGCTTGCAGGCAGGCTCTTCCTTCCTGTCTGCATTCAAAACGGATAATTTCTCTTCTGTTAGCAGCAGGATCAAGCCCTGAAAACCAATGGAAGAAGCTTCCTTTGACCTAAATGGTGCAAGGCCAAGCTTTTAGGCTCCTGTTTAGTGTGTCAAAGACCATTACTGTCATGGGAAGCATAAGCAGCAGTAGCTTTCCTGCATAGTAACACAAGACTTTGCTTCTAAAAATTCCTCTACAGAGTGTTTTTGCAGAGCCGCCTCCCCAGGGTTCTCCATCTGTTTTCATATGGAGATTAATAACAAATTGTTTGGCTAATAAACTCCTCCCTGCTATCTCTAAAATGTGACCATTTCTTTTCATTCTCTCCCATGGACAGTTACTAGATTGCTGTCTGTCCCCATGCTCCCATGTGGGAGACATCACTAATACAAGATGCACAGCAATTGTCATGCTTCAGCTCCACAGCAAGGCTTTTAAGGGGTGAAGGTTTTGGTGTGTGGCTGAAAGAACTGGTGCTTTGGACAGCTGTGTACTTCTGAGGGCTGGCCTTGTTCTGGGTTGTAAAGAAAAGAAGGAGAGAAAAATTAAGCTTTATGTACACTATGATTTCTGCCCATTTCTTGTTTGAAACTGCAGAGAAAATATTCCCAAGAAAAATGGGACTGGGGCTTGAATCTGTTTGACTCACCAGCATTCTGGGGGACGTGGGTTTGATGGTGGTGCATTGAAGTGCTGTGTTCAGAAGGTGAGGACCAGGTGGCAGAGGGTATTCCAGCTGCTTCATTGGGAAACAGATGAGAAAAGTATAAATATGTACTGTGAAAACAGGCATAAGATCAGGAGGGATATTTGTGATCTTCAATCTGACTGCTCCCTACCGCAAGTCAGAGGACTTCCCCACACTAGTGCCTCTTCTGGTTAAGTACTGGTGACCAAACTGCTGCCAAGATAGCCAGTCCAGATTTGGAAGTTTCCAGTGATGGGACAACTCTCCACAGCCCTCTGTGATGCATACCAAGCGACACCTACCCACTTTGTTAAAACACCTACCTAACACTTGGCTTGTATTGGTATCTTTCAGCTTTTTATCTTGATGCATCCTCGTCTCCTGGATCAGAGGGATCTCCTTCATGGTTTTTGTTTTTAATGTAGACAGACTGACATCAGATTTTACTTTCTTGTGCCTTAAACAGAACAGCCTGGGCTCCTTCACTTCTTATCCTGACGGCTCTGACTCAGCCACAGCAACAGTGCTTCTTAGGGGCTTGTCCCCCATTGCCCATTCCCTTTCCTTTTATCAGCAAGAGAAGAAGCTGAGCTGCCACCCTTTGCTAACCCTGCTGTGGGGGCATTTCTAGTCCTGGTGGTAATTCACAGTGGCTGTAGCTGATATAGTAAGGATGGTAACCTCAGACATAGCAAAATAACTCGATGCTAATAAGCATCTTCTGGTCATTAACCAGCGTTTTGCCTGACTGTTGAGCACAAGAACTGGACACAGATTGCCCGTGCCTGTCTGTGGCAGATTCAAAAGTGACATCACCTTGCTCCTCCTTCCATAGTCAAGGCTGACATAGCCCTTTAGACTTTGGCATCACACTGAGAGCTGACATTAGTTTGTCATCCACTGTGAGTTTAAGCAAGGCCACAGATGGATCAGCTTAAGAAAAAAAAAAAAAGCCAAACCACAAACCTTTGCCTGTAGCTTTGTGTTATTTTTAAATGTTACTGGTAAGTCATCCCCTTCTCAAGGCAGTAGGGACTGAGCATGGAACTACAGCCAGAAACTTTGGGAATCTAATCCCAAATCAACTTCTATGTCTCCAGACTTTTGGTAGTTTATCCCAGCAGTGATGCTTTTGTTTTCCCTGTGTTTCCAGGCCTGTTTTCGTCACTTCTGGGAGCAGAATTTAGTGTTGTCCCAGGGGCTCATTAGGCTGAATCAGTTGATTTTAGGATTTCAGAAATGCAAAACATGAAATTTTAACTGGTAATTCTCAGAGAAAAACATTAGAGCCTATTGTACCTCCTGGATGAATTTACTACAAAGAGTGAGTTTATTCCATAGTATAAATTCGTTCCATTTACCCATAAAGGCATTTTTTTAAAAAAACCCTGAATGAAAGCTTATGTGAATTTCTGTTTTCTAGGGTTTTTTTAGCGTGTCTGCTAATTTAGGCATACATTTTTACATGGCAGGTGAGATGGCAATCTAAACAGTCTGTTCCCAACCATGCTGTAGAGCTAACCAAGTGATATAGCAGTGCTCTGACTTCAGGGGTATGCCAGATCTTGGGGGTGGGGTGGGGTTTAATTCCATTTCATGTGTCTTCTAATCACCAGGGAAGATTTATGTTCTATAATGCAAAAAAATGGTCTGAATTGTTGAGTTTTTCAAAGCCCCATAGAGCCAACTGGGCACAGTCTTAGGTGTTAAAGTGATACAATTAAAAGTTTTGGGGGGGGGTGTAAGTATGAGTGTATGAGGCATAAATAGCTGATCTAAAGTTCTGCACAGAATTTCAAAACAGACCAGCAAAATCTTAGATCTGTGGGAAGACCAGGATCATACTGCCAGATCTTCAAATGCTCAACTCTTTTTTAGCATCTGTTCAAGTAAAACAAATTCTCCAGCACTAGTGTGGGCTATAAATTATGATAACTGTGTTTATTAGTTTCCTCTTAAAGAGATGACTCAGATGCTAGGTAAAAGCTTAACTATTGGCCATGTGCATGTGCATTCTTTTAAATACAAATGTTAGTGTAAATGTTCAACAGAGCTCTTCAGAGTTGTTAAAATGTTATTCAGTGTATTCAGATTTGTGCCTAAATACTTCATGAATACTTGGCACAGTCAGTTTCTTAAATGTTATGAAATCCGAGAACCATTAATCCTTCATCTTCCATATTCATGGAGCAGGATTTGTCTGCCTCAATGCATGTTTAATTATGTGGTTTTTACTTAGGCAGCTTTCCCACAGATAACAGTTTCACTTGATATTGCTGTTAATTTTGCTTGAATAAGGAGCAAAAAATTGAGTCCTCATATTTGTTACAAAGATTTGTGAAGATTTGGGTTGTTTTCCCTGCACAAACTGGAGACTTTGCTCTGGTTCCCAATTCCCTCCCCAGTGTAGTCTTCTTAATAGTAATTTTGCTTTCAAGCCCCTGTATACACTGTATTTTAAAAGTCTGGCAACACTATCTAATGCTACATTGGTAAGGTTTGAAACATCTTTCATTTTGACATAATTTGATTAGATTTTGTAATATCCTTGCAATGGTCAGTAGATCAGAAGATGCTCAAAATGAGAAAGGCTGGCACCAATATAGCTATTGTAATGCCAGATGAGCACAGTGTTCCTGTTGCAGTTGTCCCTAATGTAGGCCAGTCGCTTAAATCAGTCAACTTCTTTTTCATCTGTGGTTTCAATCCTTTATTCTCATCCATTTGGGCCAAAACTATTGTCTTCTGTTTGTTTCCAGTATGGGAGCAGAATGTTAAATTCATCCAGTAAGCTGTGCTTGTTTAATCCCTTCTTATAAATGGTAATACTCTTTCCTTTTCCAGTAGCTTTGGTTTATTATGTATAAAATTGGACCCTGAGAACCGAGATTAGATTAGATATCACAGAACATGTATCCATGTAATAGAACTGATGTTCAGGACAGTAATAAAGATCTTCAGATGACACTTAGACCAGTTGGAAGTAACCTTTTTTAGGAAAATTATGCCAATTTTTTCTGCTTGGTAAGAAAAAGACACTTTTTCATAAAAGGCTTCTCTCTCCTTTTAGGCTGGGAATGGAGTTCACAGTTTGGATGTCAGCAGTGGGACATCTCACAAAAAAAAGCATCCATGGGACCTTTGTCTAACCAATGACTTCTAAGTACAGGATTGGTGCTGTTAGATTGGAAACAGGTGCTACAAGATGCCAAGTGAGGTGCTTGAGAGTGGCAGTGGGATGGAGGAGACTGTGCAGAAGGACAGCAAGTCTGGAGGCCAGAGCCCTCGCTGTGGCACAATGAGAAGGGCTGTGGCAACCACTGTCACCTTTGATGGGGAAGCCACTATGGACCGGAGGAAAAAGAAGAAAAAGGAGTCCCGTCCTGAGTCAATAATAGTGTATCGGTCAGAGAATGAGAATAAGGTGGAAGAAGAACAGGCAGATGAGGAAGGAGGGGAGAGGAGCTCTGAGGAGGGATCCAAGTTCCTGGGTCAATCTATGGCAGATGGTATGTATTTCTGAAAACACCCACTTTTCATAAATTGGTTTTGATGCCAGCATGCTCTAAGGTCAAATGGTAGTGACTATGGGACCAACCCTCTTCAAGAGTGCAGGCAAGGAGAGCTTGAGGTCATACATGGAAATGCTCTGAAACAAAAAGCATTAGAGGCTGATTTGGGTTGCCTCCTGCAGTTCTTTGCAGAGTTCTGTTGTTGCCACACTCTTAGTTTTAAATGCATGTGCTGTTTGGGGTTGATCCAGAGAAATGCTATGAATGCTTTAAGCCAATGATGCTCTGATCCAGCCACTGTCCATGCCTGAAAAACTGCAGCAACACTTAACAACAATGTTAAGTGAAAGGATGGAAGCAGATGGATTTAGTGGCTCTACCTGTAATAGGGTTTTTTACTCATTATCTAGGATTTGCTGTTGCCTTCTGTTTGCATACTCTCCGCACAGCTTCCTCTTTAAAAGTGTTTATTTGGCATGTTGGAGCCACTTTCACTTCTGATGTCTGTACTGGATGCCCTTGCAGAGAAGAAGTCTGTAAGGCAGGGTCTATGGCTAATACAGGCTGAGAGGGGTTTAAATGTGAGTGCAAGCTCTGGTCCATCAATGCACCAGATTCTCCCATGATCCTAACCCCTCTCCTCATGGCTTATCTGCTGCCTTCCTACTTATATGGACCACTTCAAACTGCTCAGCCTCTTTTTAAGAGCCTTTGAAGACCTGCTACCAAGCTAGTCAGAATAAAGACTAGGAGGAAGCATATTTTAGGCCCATGGCTAGTACCACTGCAGGAACCATCCTATACCAATGTCACTTGAAAGCTAAAGTAGTCCGTTTGTAACTTTAACACATATACTAACACTATCTTGTTTGATGCCTTTATTGAGCTCCTAAAGTGCAATATAATTATATGACAGTTTGTCATTTTTTCCTAAACTTTAAAAATTAATTTGGATTTAGATACAATGCAAATGTAAAGTGAAATATTAGTTATATAGGTATAACTCCATGTGTGGACATGCTTATTCCAGAACAAGACTCTCAGTCATATTTATCTCATTCTTCTCAAGTGTCCACACTGTTCAGGAATAAATCCATGAGGCAAACAGAGAAAATAGGCATGCCATTTTTGATCCAGTTACTCTGTCTCATCTCATTCTCATATACTCCTGCAACACTTTCCCTGACCATATTGTCCCTAGGGGAGATGCTGGAGTCTTCTCCCTTGTGATTTCTGTCATCTGGAATTCCTATCTTCTCCATCATTAGCTCTTCTTCCATTTTCTTCTGTGATAATTTTCTTCATGTTGCATTGCTTCTTGCATTCCACCTTTTTTTTTTTTCAGTTTATTTTATCTGTATCACCATATGCACTAATTGTCTTTGGGGTCTTTGAGGGTTTTCCCTTTGTACAGAAAATAAATCTAACATGAATGAGTTTATCTGTGTTGTAGGTGCCTGGAACATGCCTTTAGACAGCCGATATGTCACCTTAACTGGAACAATCACCAGGGGAAAGAAGAAAGGTCAGATGGTGGATATCCATGTCACACTAACTGACAAAGAGCTGCAAGAACTGGCCAAGTCAAAGGAACCTCCTAAAGAGGATGCACCTGAGAAGAAGAAGAAATGTGATGTTGGGTTGGACAGAGGACCCCACATTGTCCTCTGGACCATCATCTGCCTCCCCATCATTTTTGTAGTGTCCTTCGTGGTTTCATTCTACTATGGAACCATTACATGGTACAACATCTTCTTAGTGTACAATGAAGAGAGGACCTTCTGGCACAAAATCACCTTTTGTCCCTTTTTGATTATCTCCTACCCAATTATAATTATGGTTGTTTCTTTTTCCCTAGGCCTGTACTCGGCTGTGGCCCAGGTAGCATGGTCCTTTGGGTACTGGTGGCATGCTGTCAGGGATATGGAGAAGGGCTTCTGTGGCTGGCTCTGCAGCAAGCTGGGCTTGGAAGATTGTTCTCCGTACAGCATTGTCGAGCTGCTAGAGTCTGACAATATCTCAGGTAGTCTCTCTGGCAAGAGCTCTGCTCAGGGGGTTGAGACCTCAGCAGTCTGAGCCTTTGTCTTGGATGACTATTTTGGTCATGTGCGAGTGGTTTTCACCTAGAAAATAACACACTGATTTTTTTTTAAAATATATATATATATTTAAAC